TTGTTTTCTAGCTTTCTAGAAAGACTGTTGCATTCCTGATGTTCTGAATCTTCCTTTTACTATAGCCAGCGTTTAGGAAACTGGTTTGGGTGTATTTATTCCACATTTGTAGGTCCCTTTTGTTTCAAATGCCTAACTTCAGAGTTAGTTGTCAGAGCTTATTATGGACTTCTGCCAGAAGTGAGATCTTCCTTATTTTGCTAATCAGCTTCCTCCATATCTGCATGCTCATTTTCTGATATCTGATGAGGCGACAAGGTCATTGGACGTACAAGTACTTATTTAAAAACCGACATGAGAGTGGGATAGAGGTTAGTTGGGTCTATCAGAGCTGTCAATCAATTAATGAAAATTATTGAGCAAGGACACCGTGGGGGAAGCGAACAGAAGGAATGAAAATGACCATGGAGATGCAACATAGGGAAAATGACAGAACTGACTAAATGTGCTCACGTGAGTACTAAAAGCAGACATGCTCACAGAGCAAATGAAAGACAGCACTGGGAGATGCTAGGGCCAGAATATATGCCATTATATGGACCAAAAGACTGGCAGGTTATTTCAGCCTTTTGTCCAAAAGCACACTGAATGCTGCATTTGCTAAGTAAAGAAAAAAAGTTGAGCAGTCCCCAATGCATTCTGAATGGCTTTTGTTAAGATTCTGCATCCTCACTGCAGATTTATAGCATATAAAAAAATTCTATGTCTAGGGCTAGGCTAGAATTTGCTGCTGTGGGCTGGAATTTGAAATTAGTTGAGGGGGTATAGAACAGATTCCTACCTGTAAATAAACTGCAGATATAAATAGCAAAATAGGGCAGCACTGACAGAGCCTCACAAAAGCTCACTTAAAAGCTGCACTATCACTACAGTACATGGTGTACTGGCACAAGACAAGAGTATACTGTTTATCAGTACAAAAAAGAAATAATTTATAACTTGATCCTTGGGGGGGGAAATGGAGAAATAAAAAAATAGACAAAAAAAGAAACGAGAGAGGAGAAAAATTGCCAATATGTTTGTGTGAATGAAAGATAGTGAGGGGAAAAATGAAAAGAGAGCGAAGTCAGAAGCAGGGAGATACTGACACCAAATCTCTGCAAAGCATTCAAAATTCTCCAGCTGCCATGCTTTTAATTTGCTACCATTCTAATTAAAATGCAAATTAAATTTATAATTAGCATCAGCGCTTTCTAAAGAAACCTCCTTGTGTGCAGCACAAACATATGGGATGATGGTATAGTGTAAAGTTTGTAAAAACAGAAGGAGAGACACAAATGGAAGGACAAAAATGTTGCTACCAAATAAGTTTCAGAGTAGGAGGGGGCAGGGGAGCAAATGGGGAGACACAGTGGATTTTAAGGAATGGAATTGGGTAAGTGTCCCAGTGTAACAAAGAGATTGCTGAATATGAAAGATCTGTCCGGGAGTTACTTTTTGTTGAATCAGGTGTCAGAGGTCATACTGCATGTCATTGGTGTTGTATAGAGCATGCCAAAAAGGCATAAAGGGTCACAGCTTTTAATCAAAAAGTCTATGACCAAAAATGAACCGCTGCTTGCTTCCAGATAATTAATTTAAAAATTGATGGGAAACAAAGTACTAAAATCACATCATGATTTGAGAGCATACACGATCCTAAAGCTCACCACTTCCCATGTGAGAATCAAACCAGAAAAGCTGGAGTCAGTGACACGGAACATGCAGAGTCCTTGTACCTTCACATATTTCTGTAAACCTGGTGAAATTTCATTGTAGGAGCTTTTATTTTCTTATTAATTTATTATGGCTGGTGTGGAGTAGAAGTTGGAAGCAACTAGAAAATATTCAAACACTTTGAAATGGATTGCTCTGGTTAAATGTGTGTCATCATTTGCATAACTATGTCTTAGCAGGGAAAACCAGTTGTGTTCATTTGTATTTGCAATTGTGCCTTTAAGATTCGCATGTAAACCTTGTACCATCAATACCTTTGCAGCACCCAATCAGCAGGGAAAATGGTGTCATGTGATACACCAGACACATCACCACTGAGACACTGTCCCAAATTAAACTGTTAATCAGAACAAACTGTGGCACACACACTGCTTTTTGTGACTATTTTTATTATTATTCCATTTATAGAAAGCTCGTGGCTATTTCATGAGTAGCAAAAGCAGCTGCATAAATCTGATAAATATTTTGTTGCAAATTTTGCCTTCATCTCTATTGAGAATGCAGTTGGGTGCTGGTGCTTTTCTGTTGCTGCTTTCACTGTGTATTAAGCAGCTAATGTGGTATTAAAGGCTTGATAAAACTACTAAGGACAAAATTGGCTTCATTCTGATATCGTTTGGTTGTAGGGGTGTCTTTGAGTTCTCGGGGAACGGGAGGGGAAGAAGTCTAATCTCAAAAGCAGTAGTGTGTTTATTTTCCCACTAAGGATCCTTGCAAAAGCTTGAGTGCTTTTAATATTCTGGTAACTCAGCTCTATTTATTAGCCAGGCTTTCCATCAGATATTTCAGAATTTGAATGCACCAGGAATGAATATTTCATAGCTGTGTGTTAAATTATTACAGAATTGATGCAAAGCAGGATTGCAGGAATATTTTTATAAGTCATAAAGTCAATTAAGAAATGATAAGCCTATAATGTTGTCATTGTGATAGTACAAAAATGCATTTTGCATATCCTGTCTTGGGCATGCGGACAAATTGTGACAAACAAAGTTTCCTGCTGAAATTCTCTAGAATTTGGAGAGGAAATTTGTTTGGTTTGTTTTTAGGGGCATGAGAAAGATGTATTCTCTTCCCGTGTCCAAGGTGGTATGTGCTGGCTGTGGTCTTTTGGCGTTACTGCACTGAATTCCACTGCATTTTAGATTCTTTGTCTTTTAATAAAGTTAAGAAACCACACTTATCCCACTTATTTTAATCAATATTTAATAGATTACCTAAGAATAACTGAATGTACAATGTCAGCTGAAGTATGCCTTTGTTCTGCAATGTAATGTATATCCTGTGAGCAAACACGTGGCAGCTCCATTCTTTGTTATCCAACACTGGTTCAATTTTTGGAAGTTCTAAACACTTGCAACTCCAACTGACTTCACTGGAAGTCTTATTGATTAGCTCTGAAAGTCTAGCTGTGGATTCCACTGTCCATATGGATGATATCGTTCTGTCCTGTTCCATATCAACATATGTCTATCAAAAGTGCTAAGGAATTGTGATCAACCAAAATAAGGGGGAGGGTAGTGTGTAGAATAGTGATGAAAGAATAAATCATAGTGGTCTGAAGTTTCTAGAAGAAAAAGTTATTTAGGATTTCATGGAATACATAGAATATATGGAAGCTTGAACATGTTCTAAATGCAGATTGTCTTAAGCCTGTCTTAAGGTTTTCAGAAACAGGCAACTCAGTGCCATGTTACAGCTCTTTTGGGGTACTGTATGTATGCGTCAGTATTACTATTAGTCTGCAGAGTCTGGAAAATGCATTCTTTATTCAAACTGCTGCTCCTGTATGTAGCCCTAGCCCAGATGACTGCAGGAGAGCTGCTTGCCTGAAAGGGTGAAGTTAGGCATTTGGAAGGTACTGCAGATTTAGCCAATCTAGATTTTGTCTGAGCACGGGGCCTGAAGCCAGGATTGTGAGCATTTGCCCTTTAACCTAACATAAGCAATTATTTGAGACACTTAGAGGCAAAGTTTCCTTTTGTTCTGTGAGCACCAGAGATCGGGGAAAAAGCCTTTACAGAGAAGCTCTGCATACATGAGGCAAATTGTGGAAATACTTTCTTTTTGACTAGTGATCTAACTTCAGGTAAGTGGAATCCAAAACACAACACTTCAGCAGTCTGCAGAATTGTAAGTTAACAAAACCCTACGCTTTGGAATGAACTTTGGCCCACATTGTAAAGCTTTGCAAACAGATTTTAGAATAACTCATTGGTTTTATAGAAGCTGACAACATGAAATTGAAGTATTTTCTAGCAGCGAAATAGTTCTACCAGCACCATTGCGAAGCATTGTCTTCTGCACAGAATCTGAGTTCCAGGCGTTTGAGAAGGGAGGCAATGAGCCTAAATAAAGTCTTCTGTTCCCCAGACAAAGAGTGAAAACCGAAAAGGCATAAAAGGATTGCTTTGTGTAATTTTTAATTGTTGTCCTTTTCTTGTTCAGTAAATGAAGTCACCTTTGTAGTGGTTTCATGAACCGCTGGGTAATCAAAATTATTATGCTGCCACCTGTTGTCCGTTAATTATTCTGAGAAGATACTCATAAATCATAACACTGGACAATAAATCAAACTGTCAGGACCCAGGTCAAAGGTGATGCATGAAAAGTTATAGGTCACCAACAGGGTGTGAAAGATCAGGGTTGTGGAGCATCACTCATTGTCAAGTAATGTTGGGAGAAGTGCCACTGGAACAAAAGAAAACCTAAAGTACAGAAGAATTCAGGCCCAAAGATAGGCTCCAAGCTCATGCACAAAAGGAATCAAATTGACATGTCATTACACTGCATATCTGACAACCAGCAAGATTGTCTAGCAGTGCCCTGACTCAAATACTTTTGTCTCGACTGATCGTTGGTGCAAGTCAAGGCTTCTTTTGAAATGTTTCATGTATCTGGGCCAGATTCTGCTTCTGCAAGAAGTCAGTGAGTGTCTTGGTCTGTATGTATTTGGAATTTAAAGCGCTGTTAACTTTTTCTGCACTTGCTGAAGAAGCATGAGAGAGACTGTATTTGCCAGGGCTGAAATTCATGAGCCTCTTCTCAAGTCTAAGTTATTTGGTATCCAGGGTTTATCTTCCTTGGGATGAATTAATACCCTGGCAGAAAAGTAAGTCCAGTGTTACAAAAAAGTTCTTATTCCAACCTGTACTCAGGCCTATGTAAGTCTTTGAAAAGGCATAAGCAGATGCGCTACATCTGTCTTTCCTTAAGCCAAGGTAGTGGGCTTCACACTGGTTCTGACTATTGCAGTCTCAACAGCAGAAGTAATGTCAGGGCCACCTCTCCTGCTGGATCTGTGCTCATGTCAGGAGATTGGCTTTCTGTGAAAAGATAAAGGAATGCAAACCTTGTGATGTAGTTTCCCTGAACTAATTCTTTTCTTGCCCTTTCTTCCTATTCCTCCAGCCCTGGGCAGCTGGCTGTTCCCGGTGTTACGGGTTATATAGATGCACCTCAGAATGAAGCAGCTGAGACTAAGCAGTGCGTGCACTTGCTCTGCACCTTCTCTCTTTTCACCACAGGTTTCAGCAGGTGTTTGCAATGCCCAGATCCATCAGCTTAAACCTGTGCTGGTTCAGCATTACCAGCAGCAGGGAGAAAGTACGTTTCTTCCCTCTAAGCAGAGGTGGGATGCCATTATGAGGTTCAGGTCTGTCTGCACTTTCCTAGTTCAGAAGTGGAGATCAGGTCTTCCTGGGGGGAAGGTATTATTGAAGGACTTTGACTTGGATTCTGGAACAATGGGTGAGTTCAGTCCTCTCTTTTTGTATTAAAAGTAAAAGGTTTCAGCAAAGGTGCATAGCGTGCTGGTATGCTCTGTTCTATGGTTTGTGTCTGCTCTTAAAAACTTCAGCTTCAGTTCATATCCTTCAACTTACATTAAATTGCATGTATTTAAAATAGAGTAATTACTTGAAAGCAAATGTGCACTGACAGAAAATCACTGATTTAAAACCTGGCTGGAGGTAAATTGTTTCTGATGTGAAAGAAGTGACTTTAGGAAATAAAAGAAGTGCTGTCTGCTGTTAACTTGCTGTTAGGGTCATCTGCTGTAGGTTTTGCAGCTAATGGACAAGCAACTTCAATTTAAAAACATGATTTATTTCCATAAAGTATTATGAGTTGGGTTTGTTTTCGCTGGGTTGTTTTTGCCCAGGTAATTTGGATTTTGTGGTATTTAATAAAGAAATTAAAATTAATTCAAGCTCAACAATACTGTTAACTTCAGCACTGACTTGGTGTTGATCTATCTCCCTATGAGCTCAGACCTGGATGAATTTCTTCCTTCTCACTCTGGGGAGGTCACTGAAGAATTGAGGTATGGGTCTCACCTAACTAGAGAAAAACTTGCTTGTAAATTAGGAGCAATTGAGGTTTTGATTAGATGTGTTCATTTCCCTTTGGTCCTGGTTCCTGAACATTTGCATAAGTGGAGTTCAAAGAAATAGCCATGAGCAGTATTTTTTACAGTTTTTGTAAGGCTTTTAGAAAGATGCAGAATTCATTGATGAGGAATAAATTTATGATGTAGAACTTCAGAACTGTTAAAATCACTTGGGGCTCTGACTTAGTGTTTCACCCTGGATTTCTATTTGTGGGTAAGAGTAAACTAAAATATTGTACAAGGAGCAACTATTTTCTTTCCTTTTGAAACACAAGAAGTTTGAGTTCATGATGGCTGCTATAAAAACAGCTGCTGGTTGTTAGATGCACACTGGTGATGGAAAGCAGTGTTAAACTCGAAACTTTATTTGCATGGAAGGAGTGAGATTTGTTTTCTGTTTGGGGAAATAGACTTGTGACTTAACAGTAAATATCACAGTTCAGCTACAAATGTTTTCTTGCTCAGTACCTGCCATGGACATTCTGAGGAAGAGCTGATGTCGTGTAACAGCTAGCAAACTTATTTGAAGATCTGTGATTAGAGTGAATTGTTAAAATCTATATGTACATAGGTGTTCCACAAAATGGGGAACTTAAACAGTGCTCAATATCTTCTTTATAACAGTTTTACTAATTATGTTAATGTCTTGAAGAACCAACCACTGTATGTACACAGGAACTACCCAAAAGTGTCAGCCTGTAAGGAGCATTGATTGCCACTCTTGCAAATGTCTTGCTTTCTTCACTGTCATACTTGATTTCCTAATAATCTTGTATGCATAAAATGGGTCTGGCTGTGGAAGTTTCCTACAAGCCTAATTGTTGTAACAATACATAAAATATCCTCTAAAAAATCTCTCTCTCTTCTACTGAGTGGAAACATCACTGAAATGGGTGTTTCTTCTTATTTTATCACTTTGTCAGGATCATGAATATTATTTAATGGAACTTCATTGCATCAGTATTTAACACGCATACGCAGGAGAACAGCCAGTGAATAATGTAGCGCATGTAGGAACTCAATTCTCTGCTCGTAGATGTAAAACTCTTCAGACAATATTCTAGGCAGCTTTACAGGAGGCGAGAACAAAACCGCTTTTAATGGAGAGTCTGGAAGAGGCTGAACCAGACCCCAAAATGTTTGCAACCTATTGGGCACATACAGATTCACTGTATCCCTGTGTTTTGTTAACATCATCGCAGTGGCACCTCTCAGCCTGTGAACCTCTCCCCACTTGGATTTCCCAGGGTGCACAGGCCCACAAAATAAACCCTACAATTATTCTCTGTATCTGTTGGTTTTGATCATTTATCCTATGAATGTGTGAACTCTGCGCAGAGAATGAGAAAACTGAGCGCAGGTCCATGGTCATCAAAATAGTTGTGAACTTTCTATTCCAAAAGTGAGATTTCACTTCTTGCATGTTACAGGGTTATTTTCCTTGTGATTCTTATGATTAATTATCTTTTTCTTTTTTATTCGCAGTGATAGTAATGAACAATTTAGCCATCTACTCCCATTTCACATGAAAAGCAATTTCTGGCAGTTCACTGAAGGTCAATGAATAATACCCAATGCTTTGATTTGAAACACTTAAGGACATAAGTAACTTGACCCCAGAACTTTTTACAGAATCAGGCTGTGAGTGCTCAAGTAGTGTTCCCATGACACTTGGACTCTTATCAGGAAGAAAACCCAACTATACTTTGGATTAGTTGTATCATTTTTGGGGTACAATTTGCTATCAAAATGGATTGAAATTAAAACTTTGCAGAAGTTGTTAGGAAAATGACATTTCATTTTGATAGAGAGGCGATGAGGCAGAACATTTTGCATGTTTGCAAAGTAAGTTTCATTTTGATGTGTTTGGCATTACCGATTATATTAATTAACTTAACAGCAAGTGTGAAGATTATTTATGATGCATTAAAAATGATTGCATCTTAATTGCTTCCCTGTAAGAACAAGAAAGTTGAATTTCAGGTTGTGGAGAACTCCACAGTCTTTTCTCTGGCTTTTAACTGTTGTGCTTTAGAGGCAAACTAATTGAAGTAAAACTAACTCATAGTACTGAAAATGGTTGCTGCTTGTGCTTGAGCAGTTTAGGCTGATGACACTCATCTGGTTTGTTCTAAGTCTGTTACTTCATTAATACTCCATTATTTACCTGATTTCCAGAATTACTTGGGTAGGGAAGATCTTGCAATCAAACTCAAGAAGTGAGTTCCTTCATGGAAGTCAATTCCTTCGGGAGTGCATCACTCAGTTATGACCAGTGAATGTAGTTTTTAGAAACGTTGATGAACTCAGTTTCTTTAAGAGTATGTTTATACAACAAACTGTTGTACAAGATGCAGCTTTTTGATGTTCTGTCATAGCATCTGTTACATGAAGGTGAAAGTACCTTCTTTTTTACACATGAAAAATTAGTTAATTTCGTTTTCAGCTTCTTTAACAAAAACTTACTTCTTCACTTAGCATAAAGCAGATGCTATCTTAGACCTAAAGTGAGAAAGATTGGTATCCTAAGCACTGGCTTGCCAGCAGAGGTGCTTCAGATTGTGGTTATTATAACCACAAAAAGCAGGTTTGTTGATACCTTTTTATCCTTAATACATTTAAAATTGTGTAGTTGATAGCATAGTTGGTATGAGAGCATGCGTAATATCTGTTTGATAAGTGTCTTCTCACACCCTGAGGTCTGTTACAGGCAATTTGCGTTCTACAATGAGAGAAATCAGCTGGAGGGGGTTTATTGTTTTGTATAATAGAAAGGAGTGTGAAAATATTCCAGTCTTGCAGGTGGTGTTGCTCGTTAGCCCTGAACATACACATGCAGAAATATTGTTTCCCCTTATAATATAGGGTCTCCCTTTCTTTGCCTCATACAATCTGTTTATAAAGGGAAATCCGTAGCGTGGTTGTATTGGAGTCAGTTGTTCTAGAAAGTAATAGGTTAAAGTCCTTCTTGAACTTTGACATGCTGGATGGTTTAGAGATGATGGAGAACAAACGCTTCCTTCTCTTCACTGTTGTCTGAATACAGAGCCCTAGGTGTCTATACTAAGAGCTGCTTTCCTAAAAAGTGAAAGGATAAAGCTAAGCTCTTCCACATAGAAGTAAAGAAAGCCTGATTTGATAAAATTTTAAATTTATAGACAGAGGTGGATCGATGCAGACATTTGTCTAAAATCTGGCATACTTAAGTTTCAAGAGTGTCAGAAAGTTGAAGATGCTGAGTAGTGAATGTATCGTGGGACAGTCAAAGACCATATGAAGTCTTTCCAGTATATTCAAGGCTTGTGAAGTGGAAGGGCTCCTTTTGACTCTCATGCCCTTTGGTTTAGATCCTAAAAACTGTATTTTGCTTAAGTTGGAAACTGAACTATGACTTTCATCAGTCTCTCAGCAGCAGCCAGTAAGAACTTAAGTGCTTAGCTTTATTAATTGAGGACACCACACTGAGGAAAGACTCTTCTATGTTCAAAATCATATGAATCCAAGACTAGGACAGTCAGGTCTCATGCCTCAGCTTTAGAAAAGGAGAGTTATGAACCTCCTTTTATGACCAGCTGCAAGGTGCTGCAGCTGCTATTGGAGGCATTTCACTTGGAAGGTCTACATAAATCCAAGTACTTTGGTATTGCAGAAGGCAGCAGGCAAAGGTGACTTACTGTCTGGGGATTTGTTTTGCATGGCACTTTAAATGGTGCACGGGTAACTGCTTTCTTGTACCAGTGCTCATGACTTTTGCCCAAGGTATTTGTTATTCCTGGAAGTTGTATGTGGCAAAACAGTTGCATAAAATGACAGAAATTGAGGATGTTTGATTAATTTTTTCCCAGTTAAGCAGTTGTTTTCATACTGTTATGATAATTGACAGTATTCAGAACTTAACCAGAGTTCACAGTACTGTCATTTGCAAATTGGTCCCAAGTCTGTGCCCATAAAAAGTGTCCTCAGGAATCTCACTGGGACTGAGCATGACTGTAATCTCTTTACACTGCTGTTCTTTGGCCTTTTCTCCTTATTCAGTGAAAAGAGTTTTTGCAGATGTTGGTGCATGCATCTATAAATTCCACAATGAGTAACCGGAGGTGGAAAGACATGGTAGGAATAAGCATAATAAAAGAATTAAGAGAAAGAATCTTCCTTCCTTCATGGTCCTCTAGGTCTTAAGTGTGCTCTGTTCAGTATCACCTGCCCATCAAAACCTGCCATAACACAAGGTATTAAAAGGAATCAGTCTTGCAGTACATGCAAATTGAAATAAGATACAGATTTCTAGAAGAGGTAAGCAAAGGGAAAACTCCAAATGGTGATGCCCTTATTAAATTCAGACATTGAAGAAATAATATTACAGAATTACAGCTATTCAGTATTAATTGCATTATAATATTGTCTGAAATATAGACTTATTTTGAAAACAGTAGCAAGAAGGACCATATGTGACTCCCAGATACATCGCAGAATTGTGCATATAGTTATCTAATTTGTCTCTTTTATAAAGCTGTGTTTGATGGGTGGTGCTGTGAATTGTTTATGTCAATTAAGAACAGCTCAAGAGACTGGAGTGTTGAGGGTATCAGGCACTTACACTGTAGAAATAAAAGTGCTGCTCATGTGAGAGGCTTTTGGCCTTTCATTATACCTGTCAAACCATCTTCTTTTTTCTTGTGCTTTGCATGATGCTGATAGCTTTATACCAGGCACTTCCACATCCTTTCTCAAGTCCAGCTTCTGATATTTTGGAATTGCTTTCTACAGTGTCAGCGTCCATCCCCATTCCCCATCTTACCCGTGTTTTATTTGGTTTCATCTATGGGCACATCTCTTCTGGGTTCCTCTTGTTGGGTAATGAAGTTCCTCATTTTATTCACTGAAGATTTTACATGTTAAATGAGCATTTGTTGATTACTGCTTCAGAAATAAGCCTGTAGTTGCAGCAGCTTCTGTACAAATTTAATTCCTGTTCCATCTTTTGGCATTCTGAATGAAAGCACTGTAAGCAAATCTGGGAAATTGAGTTCCTAATAACTTGTAGAATTTATAACTCTGCAGAAAGCCCTAAAGTCTTTTAATAGTTCAGGGCTGAGGTGACGATACAGCAAGGAAGGAGTTGCTCCGCTGCATAGCACTGTGCACGTGGCATGGTGCTTTTCATGTAGGTGTCTGGATTACTTCAGTGATGGAAGCAGGACGTGGAGCTAGGCAGGCTCAAATCTGTTCTCAAATAGCTATTCCAATTGTATATTCCTTATGGAAAAGTCACTCTGCTTAATAACCTCCAATGCTGGTGGTTCATCAAGACATTGATTTTAAAGCTTTATTGATTGTTTATAAAACGTTGCACAGCCACTTTTCAAGCTATTTAAGTGATTTGTTTGTCCCATATATTTTACAATGATGAGACTACTGAAAATCCCTGTGCAGATTCACTCAGACCATTACACATTATTAGTTTTCTCTTGCAAAATTTCCCCTCCTCCAGGGATTGTCAATGTGAAGCACCTTGCTATTGCAAGGTCTTATACGGTGTGTTTGTTTTATACGTACTCATAACAGGATAATTATATTGCTACCTGAAACACTCTGGCATGTGAACTGGAAGAGGGCTCTATATAATAGTGATTGATAGTTTGAGCTTAAAAATTGTTATGGTGCATTAAAAGTGTACCAACATTTATTACTTTTTACAAGGCTACAGACATTTAGATTACAGTCCAGGCTTCCAGAGCTATCGCACATCTGCAGACGGAAGCAAACACAGTGGGTGCTTTCGCTTTCTTTCTCTTGCATTTCTCTTTTCATATGTTTTTACTGGGTGGAATGGCCAGTTTAAGAGGCAGCTTATTCTTTAGTTTTAATAGCTACCATTTAGCTATAAACAAAGAAGCAAGGTGGAAAGTCTCCAAAGTTCCAGTTCTAAAAAGAAATCTATAGGGACTTTAAAACTTCCTAAGTCTCAATATTCAAATCCAGTAGGCAGCCTGGAAAGGTTCTGAGTCAGGATTCCTCCCTCCCTATCCTCCCCTGATATTGGCATAAAAAACAAGACAGACTTTAGTTTGCTGAATGGTTTTGGGCTTTTTTTTTCTTAATATCTCTAGGTTGTACTTCAAAGCTTTTTTTTATTTTCTAATTGTGAATGACAGCTGATATGCTGCTGTGTTCAGATGACATAAAGTTTGAGACTTGGTGATGCTGGGCACACGTGTGCCTGAGTTTCACAATCGCAGACTCTCATGTGTATCCTAGAATAGGGAATTAAGGTAATGAATCCAGCTGATGACTGTGAAAAATGACATCAGCTATTGAAGCAAATAAAATATGTTCTTTTGCAGTATAAATACATAAAATCTCCTTCACAAAAAGTGTCTTCTGCCACCGTTATGTTTAAATTTCACTCGTTCCTTTTTGGCCCTATTGTGCTCAATAGAATGGTTAAAATTTGTACTGTGCTCTTTCATAAGCCTTATTAAAATAGAAAGTGATGCTGCACCTAAAATTTTGTGGGAGGAATTCTGTATGGTAAAACCAGAATAATTTGCTTGCAAACTTTCAGCCACTAATGCAGTCTGTGTGGCACTTTATAATACTTACACATTCCACAGTCCCAGCTATCTGCAGGTTAGACCTATGGGATACACTTCAGAAAAGTTACATAAACAACTCTGAACCCTCAGCTGAGAAAATGTATACTTTGAACATGTTGAAACTATCCATATTAAGTCAGTTTAGCACTTTGATTAAAGAGTTTAATCAATCACCATCCTAAGCTGTTTATTAATCACTTTATCAAGCAGTTGATGCATTGCTGGTTTTAATAGAATCCATTTATTTTGATTTCTACCTACTTCATCTTTCCAAAGGGCTTTCTGAATCAGCTGTGATAAAAAAAGATGGGGAGGAAAAAAAAAGGCTTGGTTGCATCTAAACACTGGAAGGTAAGAGCTCAGACCTCCCTTGCACATACTTCATTATCAACATTCTGCACTGACTTAGCCAATTTATTAAGGGTAAAAAAAAAAACAGCAACCCTGCTTGGAGTGAGTCTTTTGGTGAACCACACGGTTTAGCTCAGATAAACAGAGGCCATTCGTTTGCTTTCACACCTGACAACCTCATGATATACGATCCTAATAAGATTAATCTCCTCCCTCCCCCCATACACACTTTTGTTTTGTTTAGTGGCTGACTTAGTGATCTTCTCTCATTCCCCTCATTGGGCACTTTTAATGCCTTTGGTTTCGGTTGGTGGTTAGAAGTAAAACAAACAAATAATCAATCCACCACCCCACTCATAGGCACTTTCTCATTCCAGGGTAACAAGATTAATATAACAAGAGATACAAAGTAAGCAAGGGAATATCTGTTACAAAGCAGAATGTATATAGAACAAATTCCTCTTTCATGCAATTTGCCTTGAAAAGCATTAAGCACATGAACAATCTGTGTCATCAAATCCATACTTTGTAAATTGTGCGGAAGAGAAACAAACAAGCCCTGAACAAACAAAAGCATCACATGAGAAACCCACAATTTGGGCCACAGCTGACTTCTATTTTACTGCCTTTTGGGAGGTTTCATTTAACTCTTGCTGTGTATGATCTCTGAACTTCAGAAATCTAGGGGGTTTTGCCTGATTTGCTTTCAGTAGGAAGCATTAATGCGCAGTTTTGAAATGCATTAGCACCTATGCACACTTTCTATTTTGAGTATATTTGAGTTTTATCAGCTTCATGCTGACATCACCAAACCCCAGAGTTCATAAACATTGTCCCATAAAGGTGATGGGGGTCCTTGGAAATAGGAATTCTTTGGCAAGAATGTAAAAATACCCATTTTTCAAAATTCTGGTGTCTTATGTCCTATATTCAGTACAATGATACAGCAGAGTCAGAATTCTTATAATGAATTTTAAACTCCCATGTAGATTCTGTCAGACATCCATTATTAATACAGCTTAATGATGTTAATTGAGGAGTATGTATTCTTTCTGTGGGAAACCAAGTCTCCCCTCTCAAAATGAGCTGATAATATATTACTTTGTATGTATACAGGCATGTTTACACAGGGGGTTCCTGTCCTAGTTATGAGTTACAGGAACTTTTAAAACATCTCTTATAAAATCAGATCTGCTGAGGTGCAATGTAATAGGCACTGATGAGAATTTTCCTGATGAGAATAAATTTGTGCTTCATGGGTAAGACATTTCTAAGAATGTCTAACTTTAAAGGCTTGGTGTTAGCTATAAAGTAACAGCAATATAACCTGAACCATTCTATGATATGCTGGAAGTAACCTGGAGAGACGTCAAAACTCTGACTTGTGGCATCATGAGATCACTGTGCGGGTGTATGTTTAGAGCTCTGTTCTGAAGCAAGATCCAACTGACTACTGAGCGCGACAGTGCGGCCACCAAGCTGCTGAGGAGCACTTCCAGAAATATTAATTACGGCTGTAAACAGTGCTGCAAAATTAGGGATATTGCAGCCTCCCTGGGCATTGGATCGGCAGCCCAGCTGTGAAAATCACTTCCAGTCAGCTATCAATTGAGATGGAATGGCCATACAGCTGAATTGCAGCGTTTCCAAAAATGTTAATTAAGAACAGGCCGCTGCTGCGAAGCGGCAGCTTTGTAGCACTTTTGAAGCTGTACTGCAGTTGCTGTGAAGTGCCCTGGCATTGTACTGGTAGAGCAGCTTATAGCCATCCTCCTCTTGCATCACCCAGAAAAATAGTACTGCTGATGAACTGGAATCAGAGGACCTGGCTCAGGGTCTTAATCAGCAATTTGGACATTAATCTTAATGCCATAAGTGTCTTCTGGTTTTTTAGTGGTTTCCCCTCCTGCTTGTATGGGCAGTACTGTTTAACCGCATGCAGCTCCTGCTTAGAGAACATGAGACATTGTGTAAGGACTGACATTGTGTAAGGACTAAGTTGGATCACTGAGATTTTATCCTAGGCTTACCTTCTGTACTCTCTCACTAGTCCACTGATAAGAATTTATTCTGTGAGAAACTAATTTCGGTTAAAGGATTGAATTGCTGTTAGGGTATAGAAGAGTATCTGAACCTCTTCTAAAAGCAGAAATAAGTTCAGCAGAACCGTCTGTCCATGTTGTGTGCAGTTCTTGAGCAAAAGAACAACTTTATTTTTAATTTTATGTTTTGAAATAGAGGCCATTAATAAACTGAGACACTAAATAAATATTTAACATGGTTACTGTGGGAAACATGTAAGTGTACATTCAAACAACCTTGTTTACAAATACAAGTCTTTGAAGAAGTTATTAATGACTGTGTTGAAGTACCAATGATACTTTTATGTTTGAAATGTGACTTGCCAAGTACAGTAACTACTCTCTGAAAACACTTCAGGAAGTCATGGTTTTCACCTAATTCATCTGGGGATGTGTTAAGTCCTATTTATGGAGAGATGGTAATGAAAAAAGTCAGAAGCAAGTGTTTCAGGTCTTTTCATGCTTTGATTCTACCTGCTATATGCCCTGAGAAGTCATTTCTCATCTCTGTGCCTTTCCTCTTGTCTGCCACTTCTACCTCGATAGAATTTGTTCAGGGCAAGGAATTTCTCACTGTGTATTCAGTAATTTCTTACACTTAACATAATGTGGTGGAAAATATGGCTAAGATAGGGCTGCATTGTAAATGCTATATGCTTATATTTCACTCTCCCTCAGTTCATCACTGAAATATCCAAGTGTTCTAGTTTGGTGCAGTGATAACATTGTACCTGTCTTCTTCCTAATTTTATCTGTTTGGCTTCAAAGAATTAGCACAGGTATTTGACATTCACTGAGAGTCAGAATAAAACCAAGAAGGCAAACTAGCCACAGTAATCCTGGACAGCAAAAAAGGCACTTTTTTCACCATTTGTTCTGACCAGAAAAGAGTGTGTCAGTGAACCTTTGGGGAATGTCGTGAAATGAAATTTCCCTGAAAAACTGCTGATACTTGCAGTTGGATGCACCCAGAGCAAGCCCGTTGTAAGGTCTCTGGGGTGGTATAGGATTATGGGTGGGTTTTTTTTGTCTTGCCCTTTTCACTTCTGGACAGACTGTACGTAAATTCTTTGCACAAGTCTAACAGGGCTTACATGCAACAGATGGTAACGGTAGAAATAACTGCTTGGTGTTAGGTTTTAAATTGGTACTTAGATGGTTTTGTGGAAGCTAGTGTTGAAACATTGAAACAATAGGATAATTTTACTTAATGAGTTCATTTTTATAAGGAAGAAATAAGTTATTTAGAGCTGAGCTGGAGAAGAAGCTGATCTGGGGTAAGGAGGCATGTGCATACTGGTAGGCTTGGGTAAATGCTTAAGATTTAAACTTAGTTTAGGCCACATTGCCTGAAATCAAGCCAATTCTAATTTCTCTGCATTTGCAAGGGCCCTGCAGCACTTGTGGGTAACTAACATGGTTCAGCCATTTATTGGAACTTACTGCTGTGCCTGTCTTCTCTGCAGCGCCCCTGAGCCCTCTGGACATGTGCTATGGAAGAAACTAAAGCTGCAACAAAATAGCATTGTTTGCAGAATATAAGTAAACCCTGGAGGAAAAGGAAAAAAAAAAAAAGCCAAAACAAACCCAAAACCCCCGAGAAGGAAATAGGAACAAACAAGAAATCCGTATTGTTTTGTTTCACTGGTTAAGAAAACGGGCAGCATTGGCAATTTATTTGAAAAGCCGTGTGGCAGAACTTGGTGCATGTCCTAGAGTTTAAGTTCTTCCATTAAATACTTTCAGTATTTTTCATACTAATGCATGAAAAGTTATAAGCAGGGGCTGATCCACTACTTCCTGAAGAGCACACATGAGATGATGGCAAAGTCTAAACTTTGATACATAAACTAATTCCCTTCCAAGTAGCTAATGCAGAAGAAATGCAAGCTGCAAGGAGGACAACGCAAGTAATAAGTTTTTAGGTGAGGTTTCAGTAAGCACTGTGGTCACAAACAGGTGGGATGCATGATTACTAACTCTGTGTTGAATTTCAGTGTAGGGTAAAGTAGTAGTTGAGTGTCTGGTCACTGTGGCTGTCTTAGGCAAGAGGGAGCCGTTAGCAGAGTTTTTTGGTTGTGCTGGTTCATTGGTGATCTGCAGGGACAAATAGTTGTTTGAAAAAACTGTTTCAAAAGACAGTTGATGTAGTAAGTAGTAAAATACAGCCTTAAATTCAGCTTCTCTTATCTGTATGTGTGCCTTTGCACATTCAAATTGTGTCATATTTAGCTCCAAATATTGTGAGCATTACACAGATCATAGCCACATACCTTCCAAAGAGAAATGAAAGCTTATGGATATACAGATACGTTTAATTTTCTTCTAAAATACTAGCATATTTTGAAATAACACTTGGCTTACAAAGAAGTTTCAGCATGGAGAGCATTTACAGTGCTAACTACTGTTGATAATTCACAATGGATTAAGTAATTATTAGCTCTGTTATTACAGACTGGTTTCTCACTAGCACTAATTGAATAATTACAAGGAGTGTACATCAAAAAGTTTACCATCCTGAAGAAGCAGCTTGTTTGGCCTCAAGTGGGTATTTGTATTTACTTCTCTTGAGTTTTTTGCATTAATAACTGTAGAAGATGGTGGGAACAAATATGAATAATTATTCTTGGCTTGAGGAAGAAATACACACCAAACCCCTGTAAGGAACAGAACATAGTTGTGTAGTCACAATCTGAAAGAGTCTATAAACCTCTATTCTATAGCTACATTGCGAATAAAAAGCAGACTAGGTACAATGTGGGCCCTCTCTGGAAGCTATCAGGAGAACTGGCTACACAGGATTTGGAGAAGGCTGAGGTTCTTAATAGCTTCTTTGCCTCAGTCTTCACTGGCAAATGCTCTGACCACACCACCCAAGTCTTGGAAGGCAGATGCAGGGACTGAGAACGAAGACCTTAG